GTAACCTGTATCTTTACACAGAGGTGGCTTAGGTAACACATGAGCACATTTCATCTTGTCACCTCTGTATGTGTGGTGCCCTTTGTCCCTAGGCCTGGTGGCCGTGTCCCTGGGCCTCTTCCTCCCTGTCTGGCTCACACAGCCACCTGCAGAGGCTACTCTGTTGCGTGTTTTTCTCCTTTTAAAGTTACCTTTAACTTAGGGTGTTAGACAAGTAAACTAATGGTTAATTCTTATTATTTAAATAAAGCTGTAGCGTGTGACACGTGGATTGGAAATGAGAAATGGTCTTATGTTAAACTTGTTTTTCACAAGCCTGTGCTGCAGCCCATATGCTCTGAGAGGAAGGGAGGCCCTAGCCATGTCCTGAGTGATGCCCACACGTTTGAATAAACACATTGTTTATTGTTTATGTTGTCTCTGCCTTTTGTTTCCAACAGTGGCTCCTCTTTATTAAACAGAACTTCGGAGGGGGGGCACAGACAGCTGTTTAGAAACTGTTGGCCAAATGGGAGCTTCAGATGGAGGGAAGACGTGAAAGGGCCATTCCTGGCGTCCACCTGCTTTGGTGATATCAGCCCATCCTGTCTGCCCGCCCTGTGGGGCCAGCGCTCAGACAGTGTGTGGCACCCAGTGTCCTAGCAACATGTGCATGTCTGGCCACCTGGCTGTTTCCAAAGTTGTGAGGTGACTTCATCTCGTATCATTTTTAGTTAATATAATTTTCTTTATATTGTATTTATTTCCATCAGTTTAGCAGCAGAGGGAAATTAAACCTAAGAAAAATGTTCAGATAATCGCTTTTCTGAAAGCTACATGGAGTACATGGAGTAAAATGTAACATCCTCTGAGGGCACAGGGGCTAAGCTGTTGTTTCCATTTAGACCAGGTGGTCGCAGCCTCTGCGGGGAGAGGCGTGAGGAGGGGCAGCTGGCCCAGGCTGGGGTACACCAGTCAGTGCAGCCGAGGCCATGGTGGGTTCCAGGTGTCCAGTCCATGAGGACAGATGAGCTCAGCAGTCGGTGTTTATCTGACTCGGAACACTTCTGGCTGAGGAAGTGGATTTGTGCCGCTTAACAGCTGCTTGGGGCTTGTCCAGTGACAGGTGGGTACCCTGAGGAGCCCCCAGAACTGGGCTGAGGTCCCACGAGGCAGTGACCTCAGTGCGGGATGGCAGTGGCTGGCGGGACCTAGTGGAGCGTTGCCTGAAGCTGCAATTTGCCCACGAGATTCCGTCCTGAACAGAACCTTTGAAAGAAGTGACCAGTCCCCCGGGAGGCACTCACTCCTTAGGAGCCCAGGACTGCCCACCCCCCAGCCTGCAGGTGCTCGTCAGACTGGCGGTGTTGGTTCAAGGTTGTCATTTCAACTACGGGGCAGGGGTGCAGTGAACTGAACGTTGGCACGACTGCATTTAAAACATTTTAGACTCTTGGAACCCTTGTGATTAAAAAAAAGTTGTCGGGTTAATAGTTTGGCCCTAACAGTTTCCTCGTAACTGCCAAAGGCACGGAGAAAGTCGGGATGAAACGATACAATGACTTTTTTTTGTAAGTGAAAGCAAGTTTATTTAGAGGGAAACACACTCCACAGACAGTGCGGGCCTCCCAGGAGGCAGGAGGGTGCGGAGCTGTGAGGTTCTGTGCGCTCAGTAATTTCACATGCTGACGAGGAGGATTATGCCAACTCCTTTGGGGAAGGGGTGAGGATTTCTAGGAAACACCCTCCTCCCCAGCTACTCTTTGACTTTCTGTGGCCAGCCTAGGCCCTGTCGTGGGGCTCGGGGTCCCCTGGAAGCCGAGTCTTCCACGATCTTGCTTGTGACCAGTGTCCTGTCCTCAGTGGCTGTGCCCTGCCCCCTCCCCCCGTCTCATTCCTGTTAGAGATTTTACTCCCATAACCTTATGGGGAGCAGAGGGGCGACGGTCCATCTTCTGTGGCTACTTTAGGGCTGAGTAGGGCGTTGACCCTGCCAGTCAGCGAATACGAATCCCTGATGCCTGATCCAGGGTCCCAGGGGCAGGACAGCTTCTTGTTTCCGAGAACAACATGTTTTTAAAGTGGCTGATAACTTTTAAAATAACACTTTACTGAAATTGCATACTATACAATTCACCCTCTTAAAGTATGCGAGTCAGTGGTGGTCAGCGGATGATCAGAGCTGTGCGGCCGCCGCCCGGCCAGCCTGCAGAGCGTCGTCTTCACCCTGTCTCCATGGACTCACTTGATGGAGCATTTCATAGAGCTGGCATCCTACGACATGTGATCTTTTGAGCATAATGTTTTCAAGGGCGTCCCCACTGCAGCAGGGGTCAGTACTCCACTTTTTACAGCTGAGTAATGATTCGTTGTATGGATAGACCCCGTTTTGTTCACTTGTTCGTCAGTTAATGGACATTGGTGGTGTTACAAATAATGGTGCTGTGGACACTCACATGCAGGTGTTGGTGTGGACCGTGTCCTCGTGTCTCTTGAGTGTACACCTGGGAGTGGACTTGTTGCTCACACAACTCTGTTTAACCATTTGAGAAAGGGCCAGACTGTTTCCCAAAGTGACTAAACCAGTTTGCATTCGCACCAGCAGTGTATGAAGGTTCCCTTCTCCACACGCTCACCAACAAAGAATTACTGAGTTTTAAAAAAATTAGTGTTTTTATTGAGGTGTAGTTGATATACAACATTATGTAGGTTTCAGGTGCACAACAGTGATTCACAACTTTTAAGGGTTATTTTCTATTTATAAAGAACTGGCTGTACTCTTGTGCTGTATAGTATATCCTTGTAGCTTGTTTATACATACAGCTTGTGTTTCTTAATCGCCTGCCTTTATCTTGCCCCTTCCCTTCCCCACTGGTAGCCACTGGTTTGTTCTCTGTATCTGTGAGTGTTTTTCTGTTTTGTTATATGCTTGCTTTTGTACTGTTTTTTAGATTCCACATATAAATGATATCA